CGATTATATATATTTCACTATTTACTAATTAAATAATGAAATTTTAAAATCGATAAAATTTTATCTGTCCATTCTCAGTTTACCTATCCATTCTTTTGTGAAAAATTTAGAGTGGATTTCTTTTAATCAATATAAGCACCAAGCATTTGATTTGTAAGACCACTACAAAGAAATCTGTAATTGCCCTATCTATTTTAAATTTTTTATATGTAAGTAAGCACGTTGCTTATTTGGCTACTAAGATTAAACTAGTGTAAACCTCCTCCAGCCGTCAAGGGCACTCCAATAGGGCAAAAACGAGGCAGAGGTTGAAAGTCTAAAAAAGCTCTTGTTGTACAATAATATATAAGTTCCAATTATTATTTAGATATAAACATTTATAAATTATTTTCTATTTTTTAGATTTGCTCAAATGACACAATGCGCAATAATGAACTTTAATTTCATATTGGATCAAATTTCTGATATATTTGTGAATTTACTAATTTTTATATATTAGATATGTTAATTTTCAAAAATATTCTTGATATTATAATAAAAGAGATATTTGTATATTAAAAGGTTCTTGTTGTACAATCACATGTAATGTAAGATTTAATTATCCATATTAGCATAATTAAATATAAAAATTATTTTCAATAAAAACTATTATCCTATATCATTTCTGATATTTTAGTTAATTCATTAGCTTTTTCATATTTGATATATTATTTTTCGACTCAGAATTTTCAACTCTACTATAATCCCTATATTGCTATTTGGTGGGGACTTATGGAAATCAATAAGACAGAGAATAGAAGACTGCAATCATAAATAATTGCCTCCGAAGTCCGAACTATAAATGACATTTTTTATCCAAAAGTGATATCAGATAATAATCTATGGAGAACATCAAAACATACCCCATTTCATATTACCTTAAAGAAACGTCGTATCCAATTCCTAGCTCACAAAGGAACTCGGACCATAATCTAGTTCACGATGCCATTACATGGCTCTACACTTATAAGAAAGAATACACAAAATATAAATTTTTATGGTATTATAAAACTATAAAAGATGTGATGGAGCTAAACTTAAATATGAAACAATTTATTAAATTAAATAATTGTAAAAATTCCATCAAAAAACTTTTCCGGATTAAGGATAGATATTTTAAATGAAAAATTTCCGAGCTTGATTAAAATTCATATCGTTAATCTCTACTTAATATTTTCTAAACGGTAGTAAGTGACGCTATATCAGAATAATCAACAGAGCTGCGCTAGATTTTCCTCATTTCCATTTAATTGGAACAGAAGTTAATTAGGGTGCAAAGTTAAGAAAATATGAGGAGCCCTCTAAACGTTTGTGGGCAAGCCGCACGTATTTGTACGCGCAACATTTCAAAAAATGTTAAAGACGTCCATAGGCTTTAAGAAAAAAAGTGGGGCAGAAAAAAGAGCCTATGCCTAAGAACTGCAGTATAAGTTAATTACTTTTAAGGGTGGGTTGTGGCTGATTTTAGATTTAAGTTTTTTAGGTAAAGCCGTGAATCATTACTATCAAAAATTAAAAGTACATACCAATTGAATTACGATTTGCCCTGATCTAATAGCGGCACATATTATGGTTTAGAAAATATTAAGTAGAGCTCAACGATATGAATTTTAAACTTTGCACCCTAATTAACTTCTGTTATAATAGATGGAAATGAGGAAAACCTAGCGTAGCTCTGTTGTTTATTCAGCGTCAGAGGCATATGCGCTATATATCACGTATTATACACTTGATAGCTAATAATAAAAAGATATTTAAATAAATACTGTACAATACAATTTTAGTTATAATTCAACTTAATTTTATTTTACTGCTCAATATTATATAATTACTGCTTAAATTGTTTATTTTTTTCGATAAATGGATACTGTCCATTTTGATTCAAAAAAATCATAGCCATTTTTAATTTGGGGTATCATGAATGCATAGACGTAGCCAGGATTTTTCAAAGATGGGGAATTAATAACTTTGATAAATATTTAATTAACTTACATTCTTTCCAAGGCGGGAAGGGGGAGGGATTTTCTCTTGTCCTCCCCCCTGGCTACACCTATGAATGAATGGAATATATTTAATAAGCAACTTGAAAAGTAACTAGTAAATTCGGTCATATTTTTAAAAAAATCCAACTATCTATAGCGTATGCGCATTTCATCAAATTCGAAAAGGTATTAGTAATAGTGATTTTTTACAAAATTATATAAATCTAAATAACATTATCATTACTAATTACATTTAAAAAAATTATAAGATTCTTGTATTTTAATATTTTGTTTAATTCATTTTAAAAAAAATGAAAAAATTTCACCTTGCAAGATAATACCCCTAAATTTCGGATTGCTAAGTAGACATCATTGATACTGGGCTAGATAGCTACTCGAATAAGTGTGGTTAATTTGTATATATTATAAAATCAAATGAGATTGGTAATTAATCTACCAATTATTCCATTATTATATCAGGATATAGTAATGTTTTATATTTAAGCATAGAAATTTACTTTATTACAAAAATGTTTATTATATACTGTACTTATTCCTTATTACTAAACAGAATAACATTTTTATTTTATAATTTTCTCCCTATGATCTAAAACAAATTATGAAAAATTAAGGCACATAAAAATTATTTTTTGAAGGCCTTTTAAATATATTTTTTCAAAAAAGACGAACTAGTTAGTTATTTAATTTAAACAAACCAAAATAGTCCGGTGTCAAATTTTTTTTAGCCTATACTAAAAAAGCAATTATCCATATTTTAAACCGACTTAGAACTGTCTATAAACTTTATTAATAATCTCTATCCATAAAAGTAAAGCAACTTTCGTAAATTCGAAAAAATGATTTAGACCACATTCTTTACAATAGCTTATTTTTTTTCGTTTGATTATATTTTTGAATTTAAGTCACATCCTAGAAGAAAAAATTGAAAATAAAAAAATGAATTAGCTGACGCTTGTAAAAAATGGTCAATCTAGGGTTTATCTTTAATTAAGGCTTTCTTGTCCGGATCTGCAAGCCTGATAGGCAGGGATGTATATTTTTTTTTACCTTTTCATAATTTTGTCAAACTAATAAACAAACCTATGTCACAAGGCCATTTTAAAAGTGAAATGAGTAATTTATTCGTATTTGTACCACCTTTCTTCTTTAAAATTTAAGGAACCGAAACCCATTTAAAAATTTTAAGAAACCGGTTCTAAAAAAGGGTCACTAATTAATTATATTGTTCAAAATGTACGAACGGTTTATTTATTTCTTCAATTACCTTATTGCTTATTAACAGAGTTTGAACTTGAGTTGGAAACCGTCGGAATCAATAAATATAAGAAAAAGAGTCAGCGCTCCTTAGAATTTTTGGAAAACCAATTTTTTAAATTTTAGAATTGGGACCATTTTTAATTCCAGGTTCCAAACTCTAATTTAGTGTTGCTAAATGGCTCGATTGCCGATTTTTAAAAACAGCTGACTCAATATTTTTTAAGATATTGAGTTAACCGTTTTTGAAAATCGGCTCAAATCGAGCCGCTTAACAACACTTCTTTGATTTGTGCGAATAATTTATCTTATTCGACTAATTCGTTTTTTTAAAAAAGGCGTAAAATATTAATCATATTAAAATCTAACAATATTGAAATAATATATTTTTTAGGTTTTTAAATATTGGTTGTTTAAAAGACATTTTGCACTATTTAGATTATAGAAAAAAGAGATAAATTATTTAAAAAAACATCAATTTACATTTTCTTTTTGCATAAGAGGAAATTATGAAAATGATCGAAAATAAAAATTAGTTCAAAACTTTTATATAATTATGAGGGACATTGAACTAAACGTTCCTGACAACTTGGGGAAAATTATGGAAGGTGAACGTTGATTCCTTGAACATATCTCGAACATTCCGAATAATTATATTAAAAATATTCGTTTTTTTTATTTTCTTGATTCCGATTTGCTTCACATAGAAATCTGATTACCCAATTATTTAGTTTATAATTTAATCTTTTTTTATAAATTTATATTGTATAATAAAATATTAAATTTAAAGTTAGTGTAGAGATGTGTTTTTTTAAAACTCAATTTTATATTAAGAGAAAAACCCCGCGAAAATATAAAGAATGATTAAATTTACACAAAATTTCTAGTAGAAGATTTTGGACATGTTTCATAATTTTGTAAAGTAAATTATAAAAAATAGCCAAGATGATTTGAAATAACAAAATTTTAAAAATTCCGGGTAGGTCCATAAAGTGATCAAGAAAAAAAATTTTCGGTCAAACTTAAAAATGATATTTTTTCGAATTTAGCTAACATTTTAAAAATGACCTCTTTTATGTGGCATTTTAAAAGAAATTTTCAGGTGACTCATAACCTTGTGCGCCTCCTCCCGTAACTGGGATGCACTAGTAGGCGAGGTTTTCTATTATAAATTTTATTAAATCATAATATTACCATATATTGTAGTGGGAGAAATTTTTTATTAACTAATGATATTTAAGAAAACAGGCTATTTCCGATGGGGTTGGAAATTTCCCACTTTTTCACCCCTTTGGTTATGCTTGTGCTACCAATAATTTTTGGAAATTTTTCATTATCAGAAAAGAATAACTTTTTGTTTTTTTACGCAAATATTAATTTGCGAGTGTTCCAAAAATTTTTAAAATGATTTTTAAAGCATGTTTTCTTTTTTCTTGTTTTTTTTTGCATTTGGAAAAAAAATGTCTTCTTTTACAATCCCTTAGTCCTATTTATTAAGTTTTTCGGATTATAATACATATACTATCAGCATGGCAACCTTACTTTAAAAATAATGTTTATCAAAAATTAACCGCGATAATTTATTATTACTTAAATTTATAAATCAGGTAACCATAATGGCTTATAAACGCTTTAACTATTTAACACGGGGTTATTATAAATTATACAAATAAGTATGCAATTTGTGATATTTGATGGAAGATCCGAGTCGATAATCGACATTAATATATTAGATTTTTTTATATATATACAATTATATATTACATTTAAAAATAAAATGAAGGAAAAAAAACTTAAATAAATAAATAAAACGTTCAATTTGGTATCGTTCAGGCTAATTTCATTTTTTTTTTGTGTGCGATTGGAATTAAATATTTTATTGGAAATCTCGGGATTTGAGCTTGGTTTCAAGTTAATATTTTTTTTATAATTGGCCGTCGTTTTAGCTCAATTGTATGTTTGTTCAATGGGAATATAGAACATAAACCTCAATTTTCTTTCATTTTCCATAGATCCATATAAGCTTCATAATGTTTTTCCATAGCATATCTATAGGCCTTCAAAGCGAGTTTAAATTTTTCATCTCTGTCCATAATCACTTCGGATCTTGGATGATCACCAAAACCTCCCTCAATTTCATCGGAAAGTAATTGGCGAGTAGAATTTAAAGTTTTGTTCGTCTCAAAACCTGAGATGAAACTTTTCTCATTTGCGAGACAACGATTTGATAAAGGATTATATGCGAAAGGCGGAAAATTAAGTTTTTCATCGCTCAAATCAAATGTTGGCGAATATATTTTTTGGCATCTGTTATTTCCCTCAAATTTGAGTAATCTTTTCGAAAACGTACCCAATTTTGGGTCCTCAAAATGGTTGTAAAAATTTGGACGACTAACACCGCTCAAAGCAGGAAAATCTCTTTCGATATGTACATCTCGCTCGCTTTCATCAAAATTAAATTTATGATTGTCCATCTTCTCATACGTTTCATCATAGTTGGTTTCTTTTCCGCATTGCGTAATTTTATGATCTTGCGATTTTTTTAGCGGATGATAATGATAGGTTCTACGGGTTGATCCATTTAGGCGTACTGGACTAACATGATTAGGAAACGATGATAAAGAAAATGGTGGATAGTAAGACAGTTTTTCATACTTGTCGGGTGGACTTTTTACCAAATTAATTTTATTTTCATTCTCATTAAGATTTTTATCCAATTTACAGTGTTTAATTGCCTTTTCACGGTCATAATTAATGTCACCGTTTTTTCGATCGACATAGTCCATATTCATATAAAAATTAGGTTCATTGTTTACCTTGGCACCAATTTCCTCGTTACATTGGTGCACATTTTTAGCGTCTAAAAGGCATGGATTTTGTCTCATAATGAAACGTTCGAACGCAGCAAATAATTGTTTATGATTACTGGGTAATGAGAGAAAGGGCGGAAAGGTTTCCGGGAATATTGGCGGAGAAAGGGGCATATGGGATTGAATAAGAGGAGGGGGGAAGAAAGGTGGGATAGACGGTCTACAAGAGGGAGACCAAGCTTTAGGTGATACCATATAGACTGGATTATTATAGGCGGTGTGACAATTATTTATTGGATTATAGATATGTAAAGTTTTGGATAGGGGAGGAGTGTTTGTGGATGGATAACCATTGTCATAAAAATGTAAAGATTGTCCCTGACTAGTATTATGGTCATTCTCCAATTTTGTCATTGATTCATCGTTACGATCGCAATGGTTCTTTTTTCTTAAATGATATGCACCATTGGAAGGATACTCTTTATCATCGAAGTGAGACAGTGGAAATTCAGTTAACAAATCTTGATTTTTTATCATTGCTTCAAATAACTTATTATAATTTTTGTCATCGACATAATTATTTATAATGTCAAAATCTTCATTTGGACCGAGTTTTGCAGCGTCGATATTTGAACGAGCGAAAATTGATTTAGGAGGTCTTCCTCTTTTTCTAACCATTATTTCCGTTTTACTGACATGATATTCGTTTTTGGTACAATCGTGAGGTAATGACTCATTACTCTCATTAGATTTGGATTTAGGAAAGTTTGCAAAACTATTTAAACTATTGCATGCTGTTTCGGAAGCTAAGGGGACTCCATTTTTTCTACCCAACGGTCTACCCCGTTTCTTGGAGCCTTTTTGAATTGTGCTGCTAGAATAATATGGTGGATTGTCAGACAAGGTTCCACGGCAAAGAGATGTTATTGGCGAAATAATTTTTGGAACGGTCATATAATTGGATTGTTCGACATGTTTCGGATGCATACGATTGTATTCGGGGTGCGAAACTTCTTTATCAATCGTATGATCATTAGTGGTGGGCGCATTAGCTTTATTCGGATTAAGGGAATGACATAGAGAGGAAAACTCACTTTTAGTTTGTGTGTCCATATTACCATCGAGTCTTTCGGCAGATTCAGAACTATCATCTCCGATTAATTTTGTATCGGTTTCTTTTGTATTAAACATGTTAAAGCTCATCAATTTTTCGCATTCGTCGCCATTAAACTCTTCCTTAATAATTTTCGCCATATCGTTAATAGTCTCATTAGATTTAGCATCACGTTCAACTTTATTTAAGCCTGAAATTCGTTCTTCACTATTGGTTGAGCCGCCGTGTAATTTCTCATAATTGAGATGACCCTCCTTTTTATTCCCGAAATAATCCCAGCTTTCATATTTATAAACAGAGGTATGATAAGGTTTAATTTTTTGAGCGATTTTTATTGGGTTATGCGGCAATAATTTGGGCCTACCTCGTTTTTTAACGATTTTAACCTCATTAACTTCATTGTCAAAATTTTGATAGTTATAAACGTAGCTATGATTATTAGACTGAACCAAACCATCTTTTGAGTTAATATTACTGCTAAAGATAAAGGTCTTATCCGCTGCAAGGTCTTGATATTCTTTCTTTTTATGATATACATCTTCATTTTCGTTATTTCGATTCTCGTAGTTATCATAAGAGGTTCCATCATGTTCTAGATCAGCTTTTATTTTGTGCGGAGAAAGGGTAACTGAGCATTGAGTGGTTAGCGAGGGGATGACTGATTTTTGTGGGTTGAGCAACGACCGTTCGTACATTTCGTATGGCAGCAATAGACTTTTTTTAAAAATATTAATTACTAGTGTTGTAATTGGTTATAGTATATTACAATTAAAGTAAAGCTGGCTTTATTTTTCTTAAAAAGTAACGAAGCTATTAATGACGTCATGACACGCGGATGAGTCAAAAATAAATGGAAATAAAATATAATTTGAAACTTAATAAAACAAAATATATTCGGTTTGCATGTTTTTTTTCAATAATTTTAATTTTACTTTTCATAATGTCTACGAGTGCTGGTAGCCGCGCTCGTATTGTGAGTAAATCCGCCCATTTTATTGTACAACTTCTTCCATATCCTTCTACTTCTTACCTTTAGTGTTATACAAGAAAAACGATATAATAATTCTAGATGAGGGGCGTAACAGACACCCTCGCCACTAGTGTTGTTAAACGGCTCGTTTTGAGCCGATTTTTAAAAAGGGCTAATTCAATATTTCATCCAGAAAAATATTACGCAAGCCTGAAGATTTTGCTCATAGAAGGAACAAAGGTTTGGACATATATTATCAAAATCTCGAGGCTTAAGCAATATTTTTCTGGCTAAAATATTAAGTTAGGGAGAGGGGTGGTAGGCCTCTTTAAAATTATATATTAGCGGAGTTACTAACTCATATCATTTTCTCCCTTTAAAAAAATCAATGCTTTTTTAGACGTGCTAGAGGAAAAAAAAATAGAAAAAAAGGGGGTTGTATTTAAAAAAAATTTAATCGATTTGTTTTGCATTGTATAAATAAATTTATTAATTTATATTTCAAAAAAATATATATTAAATATAATACTTCTTTGTAACCACCATTAATTTTAACGATCTTGTAGAATTGATACAAATCGACTGTATTATAATATGAAGAAGAAAATAAAATAAAATAAAATATAATATTTACAATATTAAAAAAAATAATAAACCTATTTTATACTTGATTTTTATTATTATTTGTAATTATAGAGAATTACAATGTTTTACCGGGGCAGGGTCCTAAATGGGGAATTTTCTTGAGTGGCGTACCTCTATCGCACATAAATTTTTTCAAACTATCAAAGAAATTTAGCTTCTCAGAATCTGATTCAAGTTTAGCCTTTAAATTGTTTTTTTTGTTTTAAAAAATATATAAGTTTCAAATTATATAATGAAAAATTTCATAACTGATTCAATCCTATATTACCATTTTTAAAAAAAATAAGATATTATGATTAGTACGGTTTTTGGTGAGTAGAAAAAATGAGAAGAAGAGGAAGATGGTTCAAAAAAATGGAGGGATTAAGAGATTCACATAAAACACGAATTTCTGGAACGACAGCAAAATTTAGATTAAAAAAGAAAGAATAAATAAGAGTTTAATATTAAACAAACCTGTCTTATATGATAGTCTAAGGCGCATTTCGACGCTGCCGAATAGCTGGAGTTGGGCCAACCATTGATCCTAACATTATCATTATTGGTTATATTGAGCTTATGTTTCTTGTAATATCTTTTGTTCAATTTAGCGAGCCGTAGGTAACTATTTTTTTTAGAAAAGTTCTTGAGATATTGTTTCAAGGATGGGCTAATCGGCGGACTTTTAAACAATACGGACGTTGGTTTGCCATCATGTAATGGAGAATTTTTTGAAGTTTCTTGATCATCTGCGGGCTTTTCTTTTTTGGGTCTGCCCCTGAATATGGGACCTAATTTTTTTTCCCACAAAATGGAGTTTATTTTTAAATGTAACCGTGATTAGTAAGCGGGTAAAATAAAGGAACGGTAATAGCCCGATTAAGATTCAGACCAAAATAATATCATGTAAGTTTGGAGATTTTGCTCATAGATGACAAAAAAATTTAGACCTATTAGATTTCACTAAAATCTTCATCGGGTCGTTTTTAAAAATAGACTGGAATCGGGCTTTTTAACAACATTATGTGACGGGTACATTTTTAAGGGCCTCACATACATGACATTTAATAATAGAAAAGGTATGGCATATTGTATGCTGGGGTTCATTTATATATGATGGTTAGCTTAGATTTTATGAAAATCCATTTTAAAAATGTCACGTGATTTTTTATAAACTGTCACATTCAAAAATTATAAATTTTTTGATTTGTTTTGATAATAAAAATCTTCATCAAATTTAAATGAAATAGGCCATCTTATATAAATAGAATTAGCTTACTTAGTATTTATTTTTTGGCGCTCAAGATAATATAATTTGAGAACTGAAACAAGAAGGGCATTTGTGCGTTCCTACACCTTCCGATTTCGGGCATAAAATGAGAATATAACCCTTGTAAACTTTTACTCTTTTAGAAATGTTCCGGAAAAAAAAGTATCGATACAGTTTAGTTTTTTGTTATATTCAAAGTTCGGTTAACTAAGGCATCTTATAAGTGCTCATAAATATAGCATTAAAAACGTTACCATTTAAAATACACTATTTTAAATAAAACACTTCAATTTATCCGTGCTGTTATTCTTTGGTTTTACAAAAAATATAAAGAAATAATTAATAATTTTTTTTTCTTACCACTATAAGATCTCAAATTTAATGAATTGAAAAAGCTTTCATCTTCATCGCCAAAAACGGTCTTGCAAAACATATATCGAATATCTCTTGTTAACTGGACGTCAATATTACCAACCCGTTCCTGTTCAGCTAAACTACGAAGGCATGTAAATTTTTCGATCGTTTCAAGTCTCTTGATTTGAGATTTGCATCGAATGTAGGCAGGATAACTCAAAATGCATAGTTTTCCATAAAATAGACTATTTAAATCCCTATCACCAGCTCCATTGTGGTCAGTGATAGTAATGTCCTTATAATTATGGTCGTTTAATGGAGTATAATTGTGATGGAAAGGATTTAGCGATAGATAAGGGTTATGAGTTTGTGGAACAATTTTGTTATTCGAAGCTACTATAGTTAGTAAAAAAAATAAAAGGACTATATTGAAATAAACAAAATATGTTTAATTTGTATTATACTTAATTCTATTTGAGGTTAAGAAAAAAAATGGGCAATTCAAAAATAGATAAAAGATAATTATTTACTAAATATTATATAATATAAATTTTGCTTTGAAAAAAAAAATATATATACAGGTTATATTAGCCGCACAAAATATTTTTTAAGTAACCCAAAAAATATTGAAACGAGAAAAACGTAAAATTTAAAAATAAAAAAACATTTGCTTTATAAGAAATTTTATTTGATAAGTATCCAATAATAATTTTTAAAAAATGGTTCAAACCATATATTTTGTTGTAATTTTGAATTCCTTCGATAAACTGATCAAACGGTAAAATTATATTGCGGGATAGTTGAATAAGTTCATCCTTTTTAGAATAGTGTTATATTGTCGTAATTTATAAATATAACTTATAACAAAAAATATTAAAAATGAAAAAGATATGTGTATAGAAATTTCAGAGTTATTTAAGATCTATGGTACACTTCATTAACTTCTCAAGATTACATGCGTTTTAAAACGACATAAAGCTTAGAAAAGACTAGACCCCTATTACTATTTAAAAAAAAGAGGGCGGCTCTAACGCTTTTTTTGAAAGAAGTGGCGCACGACTTAACAACCCTAAAAAAATTTAGTTAAACAAATGTCTCACTGCCAATGAATGGTAAGATGAAGAATAGCCTAAGCCTCTTTTCCCAACCCAGCTGATCTTATTTTTTAAAGCAATATAAAGCCAGTGGTCTGTGCAGAAAAAAAATATATTAAAAATATAACTAATTAAATTATTTATAGAAAAAAAAACTTTTTAAACAATGGCCGAGATGATTATGAGTAAATATGTATAAAAATTACTTCGCCAAAATGGCTATCGGGATCTTGAGACCTAGGCAAATGTTGAGGTAACATATATAATTTCAGGCTAGCGAAACACCCTACCCTGTCTTTAACATCTTTAATGTTCTTTAAAATTTTATCCGTAGTTTCAAAATTTTCATTAGAAACGTGATCTAGTGTATCTTTCATATTCTCGGAGGTGTTCTGTTCTTTTCTAGGTCTACCCCTTTTTTTAACACATTTAAGATCGGGGTTAACAACGTCATCCGCATTCCCCGTTGTTTTATTAATATTATTATCAGCCGCATCGTTTAAGGGGTTGACTTTGGGGTGATATTGAGTGTCGCGACATTTCCATAACAGTTGTAACTGGATTAAGTAGGTCCCACTAGAATCGGCTCTAGACTCAATTTTATGATCCTTAGATGGTTGTAGAGATAGGAATAGGTATTCCTTGACCCGTATCCTCCTAAATTGATTCGAAATATCTTCCGTTTTAGGGGTAGTCCCTTTTTGGTCGACATCACTTTTATCGAAATTTGCAAGGGAGGGGTCAGTCGCATAACGGAAAGATTTGTAAAACGTGTATGACCCTTTGGTGTGAGATGTTTCCTCGTCGAACTGCATACGTTTTTAAACATATTTATTTTTTTTACAAAAATGTTTATTATTTATAAAATGTGTAAAAGGCGAGAAAGACAATACCAGATAATATCTTAGGGTTTGGGGTTCACAGAGTTAAAAGATAGGAGCCCTAAAAAATCAAGCGGAAAAATATTGTTTCCAAAAAATTTGAATATTTTAAACCTTCGCACATTAAGATAACGCGATTTTTCAAGAAAATTTTAAAGGCCTGATTATGCTGAAATCGTCTACTAGCGTGACCCTTGAATATCAGACAATTTTTATAATAATATTTGACCTACCCTAATTTATATATTAAAAAAAAAATTCAGAATAAAAAAAATATAGATGGTCTAAGTTTTTAAAACTGGCTAAAACTCCGAATATATGAAGAGAATATGCAAACCCCCTATACTACGATATAAATATATTTAAAAACTATCCTGTATAATCTATAAATATTTGTTTAACGATCTGATATGATCTATCCTGTATAATCTATAAATATTTGTTTAACGATCTGATATGACCTATCCAATAATTTATTAAACTGATAAATAAGTAATAATAAATATTTAGAGACCTGCAGTGGTTAGAACTCTTACATTTTATTATTGGCGGTATATTTTATAAATTTCAAAGGGGAATTGAAAATATCAGAAGCCGAATGAATGATAAATTTATCTATTATATGATTGATTTTAAAAGTACATAATTAATAAAATAATGCCTCCAGAAAATCTAATTAAATGAAATGAGATATTCGATAATAATTTGGTATTCATTACGAATCAAATAATATATTCGATTTTTTTTTTAAATTTCTGGATATTTTATTTAGTATAACAAAAAAAATATTAATTATATTTCAAACATTTTATGGCATAAATTTATAATAGTAAGTAAAGATAGATTATAATAAAAATAACTATTTTTTAAAAAAAATTTATGGAAAAAAAGCCATTCTTTTCAGGCATAAAGTTTTTCTAATTATTATTGATAAGCGATTCTTGATAAATATTTGTGCTTATTCCTCTCGTTTATGATTAACAATCTTACAATATATAAATATTTGTTCCGATTTGGTTTTAGAATAATTAATACTGTAATGCAAGTCCCAGAAAAAAAAGAAAGATATTTTATTGTCAGCGGCCTAAACTAAAAAATAAAATATAACTAAATAAAAAAAATTTTCCAAATAATTCCAAAATTAATAAACAATTGGAATATTTACAAAAAATTATGAATAATTAAAATTTATCATATAATATCATTAAAAAGTGATTATCTATAGTTACTCTTACTAGTGTTACATTGCAAGTTACTTTATGAAATTTATATAACTCATCATTTTAAATTTTTAAATATAATTTATATATATAAAACAAATTTTCGATTTATAAATTTTAATGAAAATAAGATTTAAATAAAGGAATAATTGTATTCGGAGGGGGGGGAATGACAAATATTTATTTTTCATAAAAAAATTGGATTAATAAATTTTATTGGACTGTAATAGCTATTTTCAAAAGGGGTGTCAAAAATGTTTGCTTGTCTTTTTCCAAAAAAAAGCTTCCCTAGACTAATCAAACTTTCTACAAGTAATAAACCAGCAAATTCTAAATTTGGGAAAAATTTATAATAAAGAAAATTAGTCTTGGTTTTTCAATTTTAATCATAGACAGGAAATTTTTAAAAAGGTGATAATTATATCAAAAATTAATTTAAAATTTAAATACATTTATATAAATATTTAACATGTTTTAAAAAGTTAACTTCAAAACTTTGAAGTTACATTTAAAAAGTAGCAGAATTACATTTTATTTGTTATATTTTCTTCAAAAATGTAAATAATCACTTAAACAACGCGAATAAATATGTAAGTGCAAATCTAATTTGTATTTGACAACTTGATAATCTTACTAAATTTTTTACTTTCATTTATCGTAAGGTCACTATCAATAATATTCACACAATAAAAATAGGCACTTTAATTTTCTAAAAGCTATTTTTAAAAAAATATATATAAGCACCAATTTGTTTGCAGATCTGTATTCCCAAAATATTTAATTTTAAGTGATAAAACCTTTAATATTTCAAAAAAAAAATTCATACTTTTTTACTATATGATATTATAATACTGAGGTTTCTAGATATATAAATTATTTGATTTTCAATTGATTCTTTCGAATTTTGTTATAAAAAATAAGAAATATTGGTTAATTTTATATAAATACAATGACACCTAGATAAAAAAATTTTAGCAGAGAAATTTAATGCAATTTAAGTGTTTTACCATTCCTAGATATTCCATAGAATCATTCTATTTTTTTCTAGATCTTTTAAAGATAATTTAAATTTGTTTTTTTTAGAAACAAGACACATAAAACAAAAATAATATAAATGAAATCATCATTAAAATTTTATAAAAATGCAAAATTATAATAAAAAATTTTAATAAAATCTTTTTTAGAAATTATATATTCTATTTATAAAATTTTTTATATTTTTTATTAGATATTTTTTTTAAAAATTAATTTAAAAAATTCGTTTTAAAAATGTATTATAATTTTTTTTAAATAGAAAAAAATAAATATTAAATATCATATTCTAAGAAATATAAATTCGAAATATAAATTTTTGTCATATATTAAGGTTATTAAATTTATATTATATTTATGACAAAATTTTTTTATTAAGTTGTAAAAATAAATTATATAATATTTAAAATGTATTTCGCTACTTTTTGAAATGATTTGTTTAAAAATAAATAATCCCAAATTTTATAAAGAATATTTAAGACGACAAAAAAAAGGACCTCTAAATCCTCAGCTCAGATTACGGTTAATATAAGATATTCAAATTTAGTATAGCTAAACTAAAAAAGCATCACTTTAAAATTTAACCATGAACCTTTCGCCACCCCCCATAAATATAACTATTTTTTTTAAAAAATCGTATTACAAAAAAATTGAAAGTTTTCCAAATAAAAATAAATATGTTAAAGATTAAAACAAAAAATGAAATAAAATAATTTCAAATTATTTGATCCAACATACCGCATTCATCATTTTAATTAAATGAGTTGTTGTTGTAACCCTAACTCTTTTTCTTAGATTTGGACCTGATTAGTTCCGTTTATAAATCTTCCTGCTAGCGTTTCTCAAGGCACCAAGATTAAAAGCGAATATCGAAAATTGAAAAACGTGAATATATTTCTGAGATTGCATAATTATTAATTTTTATTTTATAAAAAGGAAATAGCACGAACATTATTTTGAATCAAACAAGATATTTTTTTTTAAACTTAATGATTCTTTTCTAATCTAGAAAATATTGCTTTATGATCATGGTTATATAGTCATCCCCTTATTAAGGAAGAACAGAGACTTTCTCACTCAACTTTGTTAAACACAATCTCCGCTCGCTTACTAACTTCGTACCTAGTTAAATCCCCTCCATTTCTATAGAGATTTCCTTTTCATCTTCTTTGCTCCACCCCCACCCGCCACAATTTCCTTTTAAAAAAAATGTAATTGAGTTTTTCTATTCTTTTCAAGGGTCCAACCTATCCTTAATAATTTATACCAATGCTCTGATGTCCCAGGGTTAATTGTGTAGTTAATGAGCTAGCTATGAATTTGGAGGCAATGGTCCGGATACCCCATTTCTCTTATTTTTCGTATAAATTTTCTTAAAAAAATTATGAACTGCCTGGGTGACATCAGGAATGCCAAGCTGGACTAATGGAATTTGGACAACCAAATTACTTTAACAAGAGGCAGGCAAGTATAATAATGTAAGTTTCTACAGAAATCAAACTCTTAAGTGGACTTATTTTTCAAGAAATCGTCGCTCGATTATTTATAAGATTAAAAATTGATATATTTACATACTATAAGCGATCTGGATTATAGACCTGCAAATGGCTCTGACCTTAAGAATTTACTCGGACTGGAACCAAAGATTAATCTTGTAAAGTAGGGCATTTTGATGAGGTGGGAGTTAAAAAAACTGGCCACCTCTCCCTTAAATATAATGGAACAAGTGCGAAAAACCAATAAAATATTTTTTAAACATTGGGCGAATAAATTGGCGGGAAGGTGATATTTTTTAAAAAAAACTGGGTGACGGATTTAATTTAAACAAAGAATCGATTGCAGACCCTCTAAAACGAATCCCACTTATTATTATATGATAGTATTAATAATTATTATTTACTTTAGAACTTAAATCAAAATGGCGATTTACAATTAGAAACGGTTTAATTTAAGCCGACTTTTAAAGATAGCTAACTCAATATTTTATCCAGAAAAATATTACGTAACCCGTAGGATTTTGCTCATAGATAGCACAAAGGTTTGGACATCTATTATAACAAAATCTCAGGCAATATTTTTCTGGCTAAAATATAGAGTTAACCTTTTTAAAAATCAGCTCAAATCGAGCCGTTTAAAAACACCGTAACAAACCAAGCTAGTTCCAAATATGGCTTAAAAATATTTTATCAATTTATTTTCAAGAGGCTTGCAGGGGACTAAATTTAGGCCCGACCCTTATTTTTTTATAAATTTCGTTATAATATTTGAAAATATGAGAAGTAAATGATTAAAATGTTCGGCCCGGGTTTTTAAAATTATACCATTTATAGTCTCATTGCGGGATTGTGGGTCTCTGATTTATTTATAAATGTTTTTAAAAATGTTCTATAATTTACACTGCACAACTTATACATATAAAAAAAATTTTTTAAGAAAGGATGGGGAAGGGCAGAGGGTAAATGTGAAGGGGATGAGGAGGATCCTCGAGGACAAGATTTTAGTTTGAGAAAGTGAAATTAGATCGATGGTGCCATGTCCAGATGGTATTCTATTAGTTGTATCGGGACCAATTTTACAAGCATGGCCCAGTCCCAATTTTTTTTTAAATTTGTCTCAAAAAGCCCGATCAGAAAGAATAAATATTATTGTCTGCACGGCCCGAATTCATTTAAATAT